TACGAGCATGATCTGTTCAAGGAGTTCGCCCAGCATAAATGTCAAACACATAGTCTGTGGTCTCCCAGGTCTTCCTCCCCCCTCCCCATTTGAAGATGGGGATACTTTCTCTTTTTTTGCTCCCCCTCCCCACAGGATTAATTTAAAGCCCTCCAGCTGGGAAGAACTGGTTTGCCATGATTCCTTCCTTTTGGAAATGTGGCCCGTTACCAAAGAAAACAAACTTTTCCCATTGGCACCATCTGGGTAGCCCACTGTTCCCTTCCAGGATTTATCTCGCTCTTCCTGGGCTACGTCTTTCAATGTTTTAATGCTTTAACCATATGGAGTTGGGAGAGGGGGCTAAGGTGGTACCCTTCTGGTACCCTTCTGGTACTTGTATTGATACCTAAATGCTCTCAACTGGATCTTCATGCTCAAATGCCTAGATGTATACGTGTACACATGTATATGTCCTTCACACGTAGAATCACAGAATTAGAAGGTATGTCAGAGGTCATTTGGCCTAACTCCCTGCCCAGTGCAGGTTTTGTCAAAGCCTTTCAGTCAGATGGGTCTCCGTTTGAAGATCTCTGGGGAAAGGAAACGTAGCATTTCAGAAGGCCACCTATCTCACTAGTTCACAGCTCTTACTGTCAGGTACTTCCTTCTAATATCTAATCTGAAGTTGTTTCACCCCGCTGGATTAGATATCAGTGTCAAGCTGACAGTCAGCAGTTTCCCAGCTCTTCTCCCCCCTCTTTTTTTAAAGGCCAGAGCAAATTTTGCCCTTCTCCAGGCACTAGGCTGTCCTCCCTGGTGTCGCCAAGACCGCCGAAGGGGGCTGCAGGCTGTCAGAGGTGGGAGAATGGGGGGCTGTTCCAGACCAGCTGGTGTGAGACTAGGCTGAAGCTGCCATAACCTAAAGATGAAGCAGAGAGGACAAAAGCCAGGAACCTTGTCTATGAGATCCCTTGATGAGGGAGGTAGATAAGAAGGAAGCAAATCGTTAAGGAAAAAACAAAGGACCTGAACCAGAAAGAGGAAGTTGGGCCTGAGCACATGGAAACCCTCACCCCACTCCCATCCACTTGTAAATCAACCCAGCAAGGGCTTTTGGGGATAAAAGGGGTCCCAAAGCTCACCCACTCTGGGTCGTCTGAGTCGTCTTGGTCATCTGAGTCATCCAAGTCATCCAGACTTGGCTGCTTCCGTCCCTCTAGCTAGTGCCTGGCAGCCTAGTTGGGAAGGACGTGGGTAAGTGTGGATGAGTGTGTGTGTGTGTGTGT